GCCAAACGTGGGACTTGATCCCAGGATCCTGAAATCATGACTGGAGCCAAAGGCAGACCCTTTGGTCTGACTGAGCCACACAGGCACCCTGAGCATATGACTCTTGATGTTGGGGTCGTGAGTTCAAGCCCTACGTTGGGCCTAGAGCTTACTCAATAAAAACAAAAACAAAAACACAAGACACACATACACACATACACACATATATCCTGGGCGATAAAAAACTATTTTAAACCAAAAACTAAATAAGAAGAAATTAAGAAATAACAATAAAAATGAAAAGGAAGATACAACTTCATATGCTATAAAGTTTAAAAGAGAGGATTTTTTGTTTTTTTTTTTAAAGAAAGACAGAATGGGGGCGCCTGGGTGGCTCAGTTGGTTAAGCATCTGCCTTCGGCTCAGGTCATGATCCCAGGGTCCTGGGATTGAGTCCCACATCGGGCTCCCTGCTCAGTGGGGAGCCCGCTTCTCCCTCTCCCACCACCCCTTCCACTGCTCATGCTCTTTATCTCTTTCTCTCTCTCTAAATAAATAAATCTAAAAAGAAGGAAGGAAGGAAGGAAGGAAGATGAAAGAAAGAAAGAAAGAAAGAAAGAAAGAAAGAAAAAGAATTTCTGAATTTCATTCAGAAATTTGAATGCTAATAGGATATTTGAGGATATGAAGAAATCATTTTTAAATTTTTGATGTGATAATGGTAGTGTGATTAAAAATAAAGAAAACCAGGACGCATGGGTGGCTCAGTTAAGTGTCTGCCTTCGGCTCAGGTCATGATCCCAGGGTCCTGCGATTGAGACCGACATCCGGCTCCTTGCTCAGGGGGAAAGCCTGCTTCTCCCTCTGCCTGCCACTCCCCCTGCTTGTGCTCGCTCTCTCTGACAAATAAATAAAATCTTTTAAAAAATGTTTAAATATAAATAAATAAAAAAAAGAAAACCTTTATTTTTTTAGAGTTACATAATGAAAAAAAAAATTTGTTTTTAACTTTTAAGTAGGCTCCATACCCAGGATGGAGGCCAGTGTGGGGCCTAAACCCACAACCCCAAGATCAACAACCCAAGTCCAGATCAAATCAGACGCTCAACCAACTGAGCCACCCAGGCGCCCCTGAAAAATTTTTTAAATTCCAGTATACCGAACATACAGTGTTATATTAGTTTAAGGTGTACAATATAGTGATTCAATTTTATATAGTACTCAGTGCTCATAAGTGTACTCTTAATCCTCTTCACCTATTTCACCCATCCCCCACCCATTCCCCAACATACTAAAATTTTTTTTAAAGATTTTATTTATTTATTTGAAAGAGAGAGAGAGATAGCAAGAGTGAGCATGAGCAGGGGGAGCCCAATATGAGACTTGATCCCAGGACCCTGGGATCATGACCTGAGCCAAAGGCAGATGCCCAACCTACTGAGCCACCCAGGAGCCCCCATACTGAAATTTTTCTAGATAAAATCATATAATACCTGGATTTTGCTTCAAAATAGTATTAAGAAGGGACATGACTAGGGTGTGAATAAAGCATAATTGGCAATGAATTAGTGACTGTTAGGGCTGAGTGATGGGAGTCATTATACTATCTTACCTATTTTCATATATGTTCAAAATTCTCCAAAACAAAATGTTTAAAAGTAAGTAGTATGAGAGAATTAAGATATAAAAATCCATTGCACTCTCCTCCAAAAGAATAAAAATAAAAGGATATAATGAACAGGTCTATACCAATAATTCTGAAAATTTAGGGATAATATCCAGGAAAATTATCAAAAGTTGACAAGAAAGGGGTGCCTGCTCAGTCAGTTAGGTGTCCAACTCAGGTCTCAGGTTTCAGCTCAGGTCTCAAACTCAGGGTCGTGAGCTCAAGCCCCATGTTGGGCTCCACGCTGGGCATGGAGCCTTCTTAAAAATAAAATTAAAAAAAAAAA